AAATGTTGACCATCTCCAATCTGATCTGAAGAACAGAATTGTTGCAGCTCCCCATGCATGACGTTCTACGTAAGTTGTGGTAAGTGCTTGGACATCGCTTGGACGTCTACAGAGCCACAAATAGTGCCCATGTGGAATTGCAATAACAGGTAGGAAAATGTTTGAGTGTCACTTCGTTTTACTGTTTTCATTTTATTTGAGGCATAACTTAGTGAGATATTAATTTTTTTAATGTTTCCATACCTTTTGGGACACCCTGTATATTATAAACTCGAGGAAACGACTCTCCGGCTCTCGATCACAGAATCTCAGAAGCAGAAGAAAAGAAAAGAAAAAAAAACTCACGAAGAGACGCAGTGACTGGCGGTGAGCACGTGTCTGTCGGTGATGAGCGCTCCGCCGCAATAATTATCGGTGCCGTCCCGGAGGAGCGCGGCCATCCAAGGCCATTCCTTCGGGTCGGCCGGCCTGCCCCCGACGATCCGCGTGATGAAGTGATTCTGCAGGCCGCAGCCGCGCTTCTGCGGCGTGGACCCGCTGCAGTTGGCGGCTCCCGGCGGGGGCGTCGCGGGCGGCGGCGGCGGCGGCGGCACCGTCGACGTCGGCGGCGGCGCGAAGACCGTGTCCGGGCAACACACCCCCACGTACGTCCCCTCGATGAAGCACGAGTACGACAGGAACTGACGGAAGTCCCCGACGAACACGCTCAGGATGCAATATTGCAGGTGCCGGCAGTGCCCCTTCTCGGCACGCGGCGTCAGGCACGGCTGGAACGGCACGTTCGGCTGGTCCGCGGCATCCAAAAAGTCCTCATTAAAATCATTCCCAAAATATATTTAAATAGTCTTTAAAAAAAAAATGCAGCCGAAAAGGTTCATCCACGCTCGCGACATGACCAACCTCGATGACATGACCTCGACATCGATCTGATTTTCCCAGCCAACATTTTTTTCTATCCCCCACCCCAGTAATTTCATGAAGCTCAACCGCCCTTTCATGAATCAAAACACGAAAAAAATAAACAAAAACCCAAATTAGGTCCGTCCTGCCCCCATCGCCCCCCCCCTCCCCCCCGCCCCCGATGAACCCACCTTGTTGAACCCGACGGGAAAGAACCGGCTCTGAACGTCGGCGCTGACGGGCGCGCCCTGAGTGTTGAGCGGGAGGTTCACCACCCCCGTCTTCGGGTTGATCTTGTCGATCCAAGTCAGCTCAGCCAGCTCTGCAATCGGATCGTGCGGTTACACGAGGAGCATCGAGCCTCAATTGTAATTCATTCAGCTATGCTGGTAATTGATTGAGAAATACTGATTATTGCTCAGAAACATTTATAATTGAAGGAGCAACCTTAAGACTTGCATAGGCAGCTTTGACAGTCGATTGATGGTAGTCGATTGAGCAACAGTGGTAATAAAGTAATGCATTAAATAATAAATAGTACCATCCGGGAGGGGTTCGACCACCGCAGGTTGAGTGGGCGGGGGTGGCGGGGTCGTGGTCGTGGTCGTGGTCGTGGTCGTGGTCGTGGTTGTGGTCGTGGTTGTGGTTGGAGGCGTGGGTTGCGGTGTCGGCACGGTTTGCGGCTGCGGGCCGGGTCCCTCGTTGAAACCGGGTCTCCCGTTGAAGCCGGGTCCCTCGTTGAAGCCGGGTCTCCCGTTGAAGCCTCCGAATTGGCCAGGCCGGTGCGGAGGGGGTGGGCGGTGCGGTCTGTGTCCTGTGCGGAAAAGGGAGTTCAGTGGCAATTCAGAGGCAATTCGATAGCAATTCGATAGCAATTCAGAGGCGTTTCAGAGGCAATTCAGAGGCAATTCGATAGCAATTCGATGGCAATGCATTTGCATTAATCAAGTACTGTCCACTGTGTTTCCAGTTGATTCGGACTGAATTTGAAGCCGTTTTGCTCACCTGGAATGAATCTAAAAAAAAAAAAATTGGCATGCAATTCGTGACAACTTGGAACAGCAAATCACGACACCACATCGACGCAGCGCATGCAGAACATAAATACGAAATTATAATATGTGATGAATTAATAAATATATAGGATCATTTACATTTTATTAATTTGTTTAACGAATCCTCCCCCCCCCCCCAACCCCCCGGCCCCGCGCGACGCCGCGCGACCCGCCCGCGCCTCGCCTCCGTCACTCGCTCGCTCGCTTCGCATTCCCCTCACGCCCGCCTCCGTCTTCGCCCGCGAGGCAGCTCGCAATCCCACGACGAAATCCGTCCCAAGGCCATGCCCGCGAGCCATCCACGTTTCGCCACTCACATATATATATACATATACACAATATTATATATTACCATATGATGGTTGGAAAGTAACTTCTTAGTTTAAAATTGCAATAACTTCTGCACTTTTTGGACTCGAACAATTATTTTTGTGCCAAAAAAGGAGAAGTTGTATGATTTCCTTGATTTGTTTGTTAGTATGAATCCTCCTTGGCCCAAAAAATTAAATCTTCGACGCCATCCGCTCACAGCTGCACGGTCTGAGGTGGGGAGGCGGTAAGGAGTTGCAGGAGGCAAGGGGTTGCAGGCGGTAAGGAGTTGCAGGAGGCAAGCGTTCCACTCCCGCCCCTCGCGAATTCGCGTGCGTCCTTGACGGAAGCGCGTGACGTCACGGAAGGCCCTTGGATGCTTGCCGGATTTCCCACTCGGCGCGCTCGACGTTGATTACCTTCGATTGCGCCCTTGTGCGGGGGCGCAATTGCTCGAGATTCAATGAGGAAATTTCTGCAAACCACCAACTAACTTTTTCTTAAATATTCAATGCATATTTATAAATAATAGTTGTATGTTGATGGCAGGAAAATGCCGGATCGCGTCTGATTCCAATTCCAACGGCTTTCAAGAGCTAAAAGCGCGATTTCTGTCCATTTCGGAGGTGCGATCCCACGCGATTCTTACTCGGCTGGTTCCTAGCTGCGCTTCCGGGAGGAACGATGATGGCGCGAAGGTGGGTCGCGGGCCGATTTTACTTCGACCCAGAAACGACTCAAAATTACAAACTAATTAATTTTCCACGGCAAAAAAAAACTGGAAATAATATCTGCGCGAGATTTTTTCTGAACAAATTTTTTTCTTTTGCAAACTTTTTCAGGAGTTGACGAAGGTTGCCGATGGGGTTGCCGATAAAGTTGCCGATGATTCAAGTAGGGAAGGTCGCGAATCGAGTTCGCCAGCGGTTATCGGTGGCGATCACCCAGCGATATCGGCGTGAAGCCCGATATCGACACGCCGATATCGAGTCGGATTAAAATTTCTCGAGAAATTATTCGAAATTAATTGGGAATTCTGACCTGGTCTCCGCCGCCTGCACGATCCGTCGGGGCGCCGCCTGTCCGGGGGACAGCCTGAATGGGAAGAAATTATTTATTATAAATATCTAAAATGTTAAAAAAAAATAAATATCTAAAAAAAATTATCCTTTTAAAATAAAGTATTTAAAAGAAATACTTCAGGAATCGGAGTCACGGCGATTGCGACGACAAAAATGATAACATCTGTTAACTCACGATGTCCATGCCCGAATTGGTGACCGTAGTCCGGATACTCCGGATAATCCGGATAATCGACGGACTGCGGCGGCGGCGGGGGCGGCGGCGGGGTGGTCGTGGTCGTGGTCGTGGTCGTCGGGGGCGACGTGAGCGTCACCGTCGGCGGCCGGTTGCCGTTCGGGTTGATGAAACCGAACGGGTTGAAAGGCTGGTTGGGTCTGTTGGGACGGACGACCGGTTGCGGTTGAGGTTGGGGTTGGGGCTGGGGTTGGCGGTTGCGGTTGCCCACCCCCAGGGCCTGGCCGAGGAAGTCGACCAGCGGCGCCGGATCTCCCCCGGTCAACGTGTCTGCATGCGCGTGCTTTCGCGTTAGTGCGTGCGGCGTGCGACAAGACAACAACAGTAACAACGACAGCAACAGCAACAGCAACAATAGCAGCAACAGCAACAACAACAGCAACAATAGCAGCAACTCACGCAGCGTTTCGTTCAAGATCCCTACGGCAGCATGGAGGCAAACTCCTTACAATTATTAACTCTTGATTTCATTAATATTATTAATTACTAATTAATTAATATGAATAATTAAGAATCAATATTAATAATTTCATTAATAGATTCATGATTAACTAATGAAATATACGAAATGATGGTTCACCTCTGACGTTGTTGAATAAGTCGACGACGGGCTGGCCCCGGTTGTTATTCCGTTGGCCGAAGGGCAACTGGAAGTTGAACGCTGAGGGAAGAAGGAAACGAGTTCTCTTTCTGGTTGGGGTCTCCAGAGCCGAAATAAAAGCATGAAAATGTTTTAAATAAGAAATTATTTAGGGATAAGATTGTGATGAAGTGAAAGAGGAATTGAAAGAAAAATTGCTATAAGTATATTTATAATTAAACATTTAAATTAAGTAAAATTTTAAAAAGCAAAAAAAAAATGAATTTGAAAAATAACAGATTTTCATTCTTTTAAGCAGACTCCTACGTGCCTCAAAATTCGCATTATTTGCATATTCCCATACTTCTGCCCTGATATTCAGAAACGCCTGAAATTTGGAATGCAGTTTGGAAGATCGAGGGCGAGTGGAAGGAATTCCGCAAAGAATTCGTTGGGAATTCTGGAACCGAATTTCTATGAACGCCTGGCAGACGGCTCGAAGGCGGTTTTCCCGGGCGGCTCGAAGGCGGTCCGGTCGGACGGCTCGAAGGCAATCCGGCCCCGTCGGACGGCTCGAAGGCAATCCGGCCTGGACGATATCTCGGCCAGATGTCTTTTTAATGATAATCATATGAATGGCTTTTCATTGTTCTGGCTTAGCCTGCTCCGCCCTTTCCGCGGCTCTTCGCGGAAATGTGGCTCTGCGCGTTTCTCGTCGGAGCGAAGAGATATCCGAGGTCCCTCACGGTCCCCCGCGGCTCCTCACGGCCCTCACGGCCCCTCGCGGCCTCTCACTGCTCACCCCTCTCCCGTCTTTCCTCGTTTTTCCTCTTCAGCCCTGCGGCCTCGCGCGATAACTCAGAAAAACTCAACGATAACTCAGAAAATTTCAAAATGAACTCAGAAAAACTCGGATGAACCGCTCTAGAACTTTGTTCTGGAACTTCGTTATCGTTACGTAACGAGGCGAAAGCAGCGGGAATTCTCACCCTGTCTTGGCTTGCGGACGAGGTCGGCAGGGGACGCGGACGACAGACGGGGGGAACACGCACAGCACGCGAACACGAAAAGCACGCACGCACGTCGCATCTTGCCGCTCCTCGAAACTCTCGCTGTGCCTCGATGCTCTCGCTGGGCCTCGGCGAGCGTGTCCTCGGGGCAATCTCCCTTCCTTCCTCGACCGATAGTTTTTTTTTTCGGAATTATGCAACGCGGTGACCTTGCCCCCTCCGCGGGGAATCCCTTAATGGGAAGGGAATCCGGTTCCGCGCCGTGGAAAACCCTCGCGCCTGGTCCGTGAGGTTGGATCGAGCGAGGACGAAGCGGGGACGAAGCGGGGATGATATGGGGATGAAAATTTTAGGGACGAGATTTATTTACGGGATCTGTGGCGCCTTGACCTGGTTCGGTTTTGCTTGGGTTTCCATCAATAATTGCCGCGGCGGAGGGTTTTTGGCCTAGTTTTGCGTCTACGCGGTTATTTGTACGTAGGTTTGTATAGATATATAGATATATATTTTATATGTATATGTTTTAAATTTAACTGTATGTGCTGGAAGGGGAGATTCGAGGAAAGTGAGTCGCAGTAAGAGGAAAGACGGATTCCGGGGAAGAGCCGGCTCGACGAGTCCGTGACCTGGTTACGGAATTGGGGATGCCGTGTCCACATGGGGGGCGATTGGGGGGGGGGGGGGGGGGGGGGGGGTAGGACCAGTTGAAGGTACAGTCTATGAGATGAAATCAGTCAATTTGTTGATTTCATAATTGAGGATTGAGATAGAATGGGGCTGTGTGGTGCGATCGTTCGGGGAATTTCATCCGCTTCTCAGATCCAGGAGGAAAAATTGCACGAGTCATGATCATTGCATCGAAATTCGAAGAAGTCCAGCTACCTGTTCAGTAAAAGCAAACGAGATGCTGCTGAATTTGAATTTGGAGAAATTCAAATGTGACGCAAGGGCATCAGATCGTGTCGGACGGAAGGAAGGAATGGAAGCGTTTTTTTTTGCTACTGTTGCCGGCCCGGAACGCGAGGGAACGCGGCGCCGATAGCCCGGCGACGCCGATAGCCCGGCGACGCCGATAGCGGCGCCGATAGAGCCGACGAGACCGGATGGCTGCGGAGAAAGAAGCCAACGGAGCTGCGGAACTCTCTCCGAAAGGAAAAGTGGTGCGTCTGCAAAAAAAAATGTCGTTAAAGAGAACTATGAATGCCCCTTTCCTTCACTTTAAAAAGACGGGCGCAGGAATATTCACTCTTTCAGCGTGGAGTTCGAGGAAAGAATTTCTTGCAGATGGACCGCTTTCCCTTTCAGCCCCTCAATTGCACGCAGTCCCCTTGCCCCCTTCCCCCCTTCCCCCCTGGCCCCCCCCCCCTCCCCCCCTCCCCCTCCTCACCCCTCGGCGTGGCCGGGCTATCGCCGGCGTGTTCCGGGCCGGCAACAGGATAAAAAAAGAAACATGCCCCCAAGTGGCTTCGGAAGGAGGGCAGGGAAGGGATTTCCCGGGTGGAAGAGGGATTTGCAGGGTGGGGGAGGGATTTGCAGGGTGGGAGAGGGCAGGGAAGGGATTTCCCGGGTGGGAGAGGGATTTGCAGGGTGGGGGAGGGATTTGCAGGGTGGGAGAGGGCAGGGAAGGGATTTGCAGGGTGGGGAGGGTGCGAAAAGTTTCTCGTATAAATATGTAGAGTTACCGCCAGTGGAGCGAGCGGGAAAATGAGAAATTAAATTTAAAAAAATTGCGATCGCAAAGCAGGCGAGCATCCATCCAGCCGTTCATTTCCAACTTTTCATTTTCCCGGAGATTCTGAGTCGAATTTCGTTGCACATCGTTCGTTAAAAATTTTTTTTTTGTTGGGAAAATCCACCCGTTTTACCAAATCTTGCGGCTAAACCGGTTAAAGCCCCAAAACGGAACTCGCACTTGCGCTGATTTCATCTCTTGATTGATTGGTGATTGGTGATGCATGTCCGATGCATCGGCGTCTGCGAGACGTGGGGAAAGAGGGTCGGGGGGGGGGGGGGGGGGGGCGGG